GGCCTTTTGCTCACAGTGATGAAAAGGTGACTGAAACAGGAATTAACCCCAGTCCCCTCAGGTCCCGGGGCAGGTGGGTCTGGGGTCCCCTCAGGTCCCAGGGCAGGGGGTCTGGGGTCCCCTCAGATCCCAGGGCAGGTGGGTCTGGGGTCCCCTCAGGTCCCGGGGCAGGTGGGTCTGGGGTGCCCTCAGGTCCCAGGGCAGGGGGTCTGGGGTCCCCTCAGGTCCCGGGGCAGGTGGGTCTGGGGTCCCTCAGGTCCCAGGGCAGGTTGGACTCCAGCTTCCTGGGCCGTCTCCCAGGGCTGAACCTGCACTCTCTGTTCTTCGGCTTTGAACGGTGCCCAGATTTGAGGAGAGCCCCGTGTGGTGGGGACAGCAAGGCCTGGGGCCCCTGAGGTCTCTGTCTTAGATGTTTAGTCTCCCCTGAAGTCACCCCCATTCCTGTGTTGTTCCTGGCAGCCCTTCGTCCATTCACCTACAGACAGAGTGTCCAGGCTGGGGATTACCAGGAAGGGCCCTGAGCTCCCTGAGAGGCCCTCGACTCTCCAGGAGAGGCCGGAGCACCTGTGGAGGAGACCAGGGCCAGGGCAGTGGGGGGGTCCGCAGGCCTGGAGAGGGGCATTTAGGGGCCTCGTGGGGGGGGTGGTGCAAACAGGAGCAGCTCACTGCTGCAGGACAGAGGGCAGAGTGAGTCGCCTGGGGCATCAGGGGAGGCTTCACAGAGGAGGGGATGCCTGAGCCGGGCCCTGCAGAGTCAAGAGGAGCTGGCTGTGAAGATGGGTAGCAGTCGGTATTCTGCCTGGAGGGACCTGCGTGTGCAAAGGCACCACCTATGGAGGAAGGAAGGGGCGGAGCCAACCTGCAGAAAACCACAGTGGTTTGGGAGCAGCTGGCGTGGCTGGGTGGCTGGGTGGCTGGGTGGCTGGCGTGGCTGGCAGTGTGCACCCGTTTAATTTCCACAGAAAGCTCCTGAAGCCAGGGGTCATTTCCCATTTTACAGATGGGAATTTGAGGCTCAGAACCAGGAAGCCATTGGCCAAAGATCACCTAGCTGGTGAGGCGGAGTCGGGCTCAGACCAGCTCTGCCTGACACTGTGCCCTCTGCCCCCTGCTTGGGTCAGGCGGCAGTTTGAGGGCAGCCATGCCAAGGAACCAGTGGCTGGCAGTTCTCTTCTGGAATCTTCTCTTACCCTCCCTGCCAAGGTGGACATATCGGGCCTGGGCGTGACAGCAGCCTCCCCTGTGATCCCTCTTGCTGCCCACTGGAGTCCCCCAGGCCTGGTCTCCTGTCACCAGGTTGGAGAGGCTGCGGGAAGAGCAGACATGGCCTTGTCTCCAAGGATGATCCTGTGTGTAGAGACAGGTCTCCTCAACCAGCGAAAGGGCCCCACGTTGGCAGGGGAGGGCTGCTGACACATTCTCCAAACCAGGCGGAGCCTAATTACAGGCCACAGTGCCCAGAGGAGAGGCGTACAGGGGCTGGGCCTCAGGGCATCTGCTGGGTAGAGGGGCAGCCAGCATGGGTGGGGCTTGCGGGAGGCTTGGGCGGCACCAGCTCAGCGTCTAGCTGCCTCCAGACCACACACAGGGCTGGAGAGCAGGATGGGAGAGGAGGCAGAGGATCCTCAGCGCTCTGGTCACCAGCCCAGGGCTAAGCTGGGACTGCTCCCCCACTTCCTCCTGGGATCCCCACTGGCCCAGAGAGGCAGGCATGATTTGCTGGGTTTGGCATAGAAAAGAGAGGGTTCCAAAAGAGATCCACACCCCCAGGATAGTGGAGGGGACCTGTCCCTGTCCTGGCTGAGCCTGCCATCTGTGTCTCCCTATGTCCCTCCAGCCCCCCGGGGGAAGTGGAGGAGGAAGCAGGTCTCACACTGTGAGGAGTGAGAGGTGCAGGCTGGGCTGCAGGCCCATGGGGGACCCCATATCTGTGGGGCAGGAGCCCGAGCATCATATGGATGTTCAGCACAGGCTGACATGAGAAGGCCAGTGACCCGGGGACACCAGGGAACCCATGTGGGCTCTCGACCCCGTCTGTCTGCCCTTGTCTTCTCTTGCTTCCCTCTGCTGCAGGCCCTGGGAAAGCGAGCCTCCCCTGGCCTGTCCCTGCCTGTGACTCAGGCCATGTACCGTTCCCTTGGAGCATGGTGTCCCTGGAGAATAGTCATGCTTCCCACCTGGGCTCTGGGTCCTGTTTAGCAGCAATGTCCACCGGCAGCGGCTCGGGTGCAGCCGTGTGGGCGCAGGAGCGGTGACCACCTCCTGGAGCAGCTGCTACTACGCAAGCGAACTCAGCCCCTCTGGGCAGTCTCCCCACTCAGCTGCACCTTGGGACCTGCCAACAAGGCCTGGGGTGGGCCTATCTTGTGCAACAGCAAGACTCGAGTGTGGTCTCCTAGCCCGAGGACCCCTCTCGTCATGCTGTGGTCATGCCTAGAAGCACAATCGGCCCACTCGCCACAGACAGAGCCCAACTGTCCGAAATAGGGAGTGAGGTGTGGATCATGACAGACCAAGTTTGAAGCCCTGGCCTTCTGTGACCTGAGGAGTAGCCGGCAGCCTCACCCTTGTTCAGACAGCGTACAAAGCTCTGCAAGCCCCAGGCTTCAGAGCAAGACTTCTGTGTGCCCAGAAATGTCCCCCAAAGGCCACATGTTCAAGGTTCTGTCCCAGCCCATGGCACTGCCGGGAGCCAAGGAGAGGTGTGGCCTGCCTGAAGGAGCTAGGTGGCTGGGGGGGGGGGTGTCCTTGAGGAGCTATTGGATCTTGGCCCCTCCTCATCCCCCCCTTGGCTTCTGGAACAAGCTCCCACCAGATGGCTGTCTCACCACAGGCCAATGGGACAGACCAACCAGCCATGGACCAAGGCCTCCCAAACTGCCAGCTTTTTTACATTGATTATCTCGGGCATCTTGTTACAGTGACGGAAACTGACTAACACAACCTCCTTATTCCAACCCCGGCTCTGACACCTTCCAGGAGTGTGACCCTGGTGGCCTTGTTTGGCCTCACTAAATCTCAGTTTTTTCATCTACAAAATGGAGATGGTGGCACTATCTCAGTCACAAGCTTGTGGTGAAGGTCAAATGGGATGATCTGTTGCCACCTAAGGCACTTAGTCAGCCTTTCACAGCTCTTCACTGGAGACGCAAAGGCCTTGAAGACGTTCTTGTTGTCAGCCTGGGGCTCTTTATTAAGGAGACAATCCACATGACACTTGTCCCTGAATGTGAAGATGTTGGGAGATTTCAATGTGTCCCCAGATTTCATGTGTTGGAAACTTAATCCCAGAAGTTCTGTATGGGTGGTGTTTGCAGGTGGAGCCTTTTTGACATGGTGGGACTGGACGAGGCCATTAGCTGGGCCCTCATGATGGCAATAGGGGCTTTGTGAGGACAGCAAGCAGCCTGAACCACCCACTTGCGCTATCCCTCTCAGGCTGCCGTTGCTCGCCTGTTGGGGTGCAGCAGGAAGGCCCGCCAGACGCCAGCGCCACTCCTGGACGTCCAGCCTCCAGAGCTGCAAGGCAATCAGCCTCTGTATGCTGTGATTACCTGGTCTCTGAGAGGTCACAGAGCAACAGAAAAGAGCCTAAGCAGACATTGTCACATTAGCTTGAAAAAAGTCTCCAAAATGGCAATTTCTGGTGACAGTAGCAAAGGAAACACAGGCCCATGGGCAGGGCTCTCTGGAAGGCTGGCAGAGGAGCTGCCACACCAAGGTCCACATACACAGGAGGGCTTCACCACTCAGGGCTGGCTGACAAGGACAACTGCAAGCTCCACGTGCTCAGAGAGGAACCCCCTGCACTGAACCAGCAGTAGATCAGGTGGTGGTGCTGAGGGTCAGGGGAGGGCATCGCACACACTCTCCACCCACTATGGCTGGCTCTGGCCTCACCGGGAAGGCAGAAGCAGCCACATTGCCATGGTAACTAAGCACCCGCTTCCAGATCACCTCTGCATTCAGAGCCCCTGACAATGTGCTGGGAGACGGGAGCCATGAGCAGGAGGTTATGCCAGGAAGCTGCAGAGCGCGGAAAAGGAGGGCCCCACATGTCCCCCACCTCCTTGGTTAGCAGAATGCAGCATGACGGGCCAAGGACCAAACCCAGCCCAGGCCCCAGAGAGTCAGGGGTCAACAAGGCACACCTGGGTTGAGCTCCCACGGCATGCTCATGCAGGGAGCACCTCCAGCCAGGCTCCAGTTAGATCCAGATGGGAAACTCAGGAGATGACACAGATGGCCTGGGTGCCAGTGCCTCCGAGTGCAGCTGGGCCTCTGTCTCCACAGTCAACCAACCATGGGTCAAAAGTACTCATAAAAACTCGGCACCTGTACTGAACACCTATGGACATTTTTTCTCATCATGAGTCCCTAAATGACATGGGGTAACAGCTACTTCCCCAGCATTTACATTGTATGAGGGCTGATGCGTTTTCTAGAGAAGACTTAAGGTACATAGGTTACATCATATGCCACACCAGATAATGTTAGGGATTTGGGAAGACCCTGGAGTGAACCCCTCTAGATGCTGAGGGAAACTGTACCTGGAAGAGACTGGAGAGGACTTTATGGAAAGGAGGTCTTTAGTAGGTTTTTAAAATGTGATCAAGTTACATTATGTGCACAGACAAACACAGCATCATGAATCCCACTGAAGTACAGTTTTAATGCACCACCAAAAAAATCCAGATTCCCAAAGGCTGTTTCAGAGCTGATACTTGGGCCTGAGGTTCTTGACCGTGGGCAGAGCTATTGGGGGCACAGTAGCGTGCTGTGGCACTCACTGTGCCGCTGACAACAGGACCATGGCTCTGGATCCATCCTCACACCCAGCTCATGAGAGTCCTGGCCTTTCCTTGCCAGTTTACCATCAGCCACATAATTAATTTAATATTTCCAGTAGCCACATTATAAAAGCAAGAATGGGTGTGATAAATTTTGGTAATATCATATTTAATATAATATTTGCAAAACAGTGCCATTACAACATGGAATTGAGGTACAAATGATAAATGCAACATTTTATATTTCTTTTTCTTCCTAAGTCCTATAGTGTGATACGTCCGTCTTCTCTCCAGTACGTCTTGGTGTGGCCTGGAACTTTGCAAGTCCTCAGCAGCCACGTGTGGCTAGTGGCTCGTGGACACCAGGGCTCTGGATGGTGGAGGTGGGCAGTCTGAGCTATGACTGCTCCATGCCAGTCTAGGAATCCAGCCCAGGGCTATGGCACAGGGAGCACCCCAGGGAGGTGGGATGCGGCAAGCCTCTCAACCTCTAGTGGCATTTTGAGCCAATCACTCTTGGTCAGGGGCAGCAGTCCTATGGCATGCTCACACCCTCCTTGGTCTCTACCGCTAGATGCCCTGGATTGTGAAAGCAAACATGACCCCAGCCTTTGCTAAGATGTCCCCTGGAGGGCAACTCACCCCCACTTGAGTACCACTGTGCTAGGGTAAGTGGAGGAGAGAGGGGTGCAGGGGGTAGGGAGGCATGGAATCGGCTTTTGGGAACAAAGGGTGGGAAGGCAGGGCTGAGGTTGGGCAGGTGGAATCAGCCACTAGCATGCCATCCCTCCTTTGCTTACTGTTGCTTCTCCAGCCCCATCAACCTCGTTTTGCTTTACGAGGCTGGACCTGGGCTGCTGACAACAGCATCCTGTGCGACTCAGCCGCTCCACAGCAAAGGCTCATTTGTATTCATCGTCATTAGCATTCGCCCCCAAACTCCCAGGGCAGGGCTCCGATTGGCCCAGCCAGGGTCACTCGTGGGTGGAAGGCAGGCAGGATTCCCAGGTCACACAGCAGGAACAAGGGGAGCAGGGGCAAGGCACTGGGAAGGCCAAACCGCTGTCATCCCCTTCAAGGCAGCAGTGTGCACAGGATGCTTGGGAAACAGCACGAGGCTGATTCTCCCCAGAAAACAGGCACAGAAGCAAGAGGAAGGAGGCAAAGAGCTGGACGGGACAAGAGGGGTGGCAGGGTGGGAATGGGCTCCTCCCCCGACATCAAGCTTCCGGACGTGGAGAAATTTTAGTTTATTATACATTTTGTGGCATTCTCCCTGGGGCAGAGCACTGGGCGGTCAGGAGGGTGCTGGCTGGTTTTATGTGTCAAGTTGGAGGGTGATCTGGGGATGAGATCAGCATTTAAGATCGCCCTTCATACCATGGGTGGGCCTCATCCGATTGGCCGGAGACCTGAAGAAGACAGACCAAGCAGCCCTGAGCGAGAGGACATTCTGCCCGAGCAGCCCTGAGTGACAGGACATTATCCAGGATGCTGTGGTGGACTTCCTCTGCTCTTCTAATCCAGCCTCCACAACCCACACTGCAGACTTTGAGCTTTAGAGCCCCCACAACAGCGCAGGCCAGCTCCTTAGGACACACACACACACACATACACCCTCAATGGGTCTGTTTTTCTAGAGAACCTGATTAATACTGAAGATTTTTATTAGCAACTTCTGGTTTTATGTTTTCTGTAAGGGTCAGGGGGGAAATTCAGGGTTTAAAGAAAGCAGCAAAGTTAAAATGGCACTAGATGAGGATCTTCCTCAATCAGATATTGAAAATGCTAGAATATTGACCAGAGGGGACTTTAAACATGACCCAAGTTGAGGCATGGGTGGGCCAGGGCAGGCCCCATCTGGTGACTGAGCCTGGGGGAGAAGGTCTGGCTTCTAGATCAACTATATATATATATATAGGCAGTGGGATTGGTTGCAGATTGTAGGGGACAAGGGACATCAGTGAGTCTGTCAGCTAAACAGTTGGGCTGGGCCCTGGGAATGGGACCTGGATGGCCCAGAGAGGGTGACTGGGAAGACAAGAAGGTTCTGTGACAGGGCTCCTTGGGACCTCAGTGCAGCTTCTCTTCACAGCAGGGACTCTGGGGCCAGCCTCTGTGCACAGAGTCGCAGTGGCCAAGGTAAGCGGAGAGTACTCCCGTGGGCAGGTCTCAGGCTGGGAGGCGAGGCTGGGCCCTCACTGTTGAACCCATAGCTGACCGGCCTAGGGGACTTTGAGCAAATGACTTCACCTCTCTGAGCTTAGATGTCTCATATACAGGAAAGATAATGAAAATACCAACCACCGGTTGTGGTTCAGAGTAAACAGAGTGGGGGGGGGCGAGGGCCGGGGGGGTGGGCAGCACAGTGAGTGCTGAATATTGGTGACTTCTCCTAAGACAAGCACGGAGGACTAGCCATGGGGCAGCAGCTGACTGTTACGGGGCATCGGAGACATTCATGCACATGAATGACAGGTGGGGAGGTTAGGGTCAGAGAGAAGAAGGCACACCCATGGCTGAATGACAAAACCAAGTCGGGACTCTGACTTCTGACCCTCCCTCTCCTACCGTCTACCGGTCCTCAGTTCTAAAGGGGAAAATGCTGAAGGAAACACAGACCTGCTGGCCAAGTTCAAGAGCAGAGGAAGAGGAGGAGGAGGCAGGGGGAGACTCATCGTCCCCAGGAGACGAGTTTTAGAAGTGCTCCATCCCTCCATGACGTTCTCTTCCCTTCACGTATGAGGAGGCTGAGGCTTGGCCAGGTGAGGGTCCTGCCCAAGGTCACCTTCCCAGGCAGCACTGAATGGCAAAGATGATCATGTCATGGCAGCTGTGAAGCAAATGCAGAGAGAGGAAGGGCAGGGTCCCATTAGCCCCAAGGGCCACCCCAAATGACCTGACTCCATCCCACTGGGCTCTGCCTCCTAAAAGTTCCTCCGCCTGCCAACAGCAGCTCAAGCCGGAGACCAAGGCTTTATCACCTGGGCCTTTGGAGGGCATTCGAGATGCAGGCTGACCAGCAGATTCCTGAATCCTACTTGGATTATGATAAGTACCAGCTCCTTCCCAAGAGAGGAGGGCTAGGGACACTGCTGGGACACACCAAGACCACAGGTCTGTGGTGAGCCCTACGGCACGTCAATTGGGATGACACACTCCCCTCTGGTTCTGATCAAAGTGTCCAATTTGCGCCTCTCCACTGGGACACGGCTCCTGGAAGGAAGGGCTGGGTCTCTCCACCCCTGTATGCCTGGCAATTCCTGCACCTGGCATGTGGCATTAGAACTCACACAGCCCCTTCCGCTCCCCACACCCACACCATAGCTTACTATCCCCATCCCCCTTGATTTTCCTCAAAGAACTTGACATCAAGGTCTTATCTGCTGGCTTATCATGTGCATCGGTCCACATGCTGGGGGTGAGCTGCAGGAGGGATGGCCAGTCTGTCTGGACCTGGCTTGAGCATCTAGTGGACCTCCTCCTGGAACCTACGTGCTCCTGAAACACCAGCCAAACCATGTGTGGGCAGCATGGTGTACAATGCGTGTTTCTCAGGTCACTGACTGGGCAGGTGTGCCTGGGAGGCAGCTCTGTGTGTTAGTGCCTTGTATCCTGATGAGCAGTTTCTGCCGGAAGAAAGACCTGTCTTTTATAGATCAGACAGGAGGAGTGGTGTGCCCATGATCACGTCTAGTTGGTAGCAGAAGTGGGATTGGAGCCCAGACCTGTGTGACTTCAAAGCTTGTCTCTGTCCCACTTCTCCGTGCTGCTCTGAGATGCAGGGGAGCTGGGAGAGCTGAATGCCGGCCTCCCCGGAGAAATGCGTGGCCTCGTTTTCTGGCTGGTGACTGCTCACAAGACTCATGATCTGGTCACCAGAGGATAAGAACTGGGCTGACTTAAAGAAAACACCCAATTGTGCCTGTTGAAGGAGCACCTCTAAGCTGGGGAAGAGGGACTGATCTCATCTGGAAGCCTGGTGACAGCTCTGCTGCTTTCAGTTCTTGTAGTTTTCCAGAGAGGTTAGGTGACTTGCCCAAGGCCACACGGAGAGTTTCTGGGTAGAGATTTGATTCCAGCTCCCCTTCACTCCAAAACCTATGTTTTCCCCAAGCTGTCTCTTGACGTTTTGTGCATTCATTGGCAGGTCCTGGAGCCAAACTGCGAAGACATCCCTTTGGCATCTGGTTTTACGCCTTGCCTTTCCCACGGGAGCTTGCTCTCAGGTTCTTGGCAATGAATTTCCGCTTGGGTGTGAACCTTCTCAGCGTTCTTTGAGTATTAATAAGAGTCTCTGGAGGCTGAAATGCCTTGGGAATTCTATCAGATAAACCCCTGAGGAGAATTTCAGCAACTGGGCCCCAAGTGAAAGCCTAGTTGATACTGCCATCCAGTCTTCCCAGCCCACTCCCCTCTCCTGGGGGCCGCCCTGCTCCATTCCAATCCCAGGCTGAAGAGCCCAAAGTCTATGACTCCTCCCCACTCACTTTTGATTGGTCCAAACTGAGACAATCATGGCGCCTTCTACCTCAAGCTCAGCTTTCATTGGTCCAAAGTAGACCAATCAGAGACCTCTTTGTGATATTGTACCATCACAAGAAACATGCAGTTGGTCCAAGCTAGACCAATCAGAGACCTCTCTGTGTTATTGTGACATCATAAGAAACACGTCAAGGTGATGACAGAAACATCTTTCCTTTGCTGTTAGTCTCTGGTTTCTGACAGGCTCTCCTAAGATCATTGGAATCTCCAGAGTGATGAGTGCTTCCTGGAGAGTAGTAAGATGACTGCACTGGTGTCTCTGAGCACCTTCAAGATGAAACTGGTCACCAGGAAGGCCAAGGCATGGTGGGAGGTTGGAGCATTCGGCCCCACCTCTCAGTCTCTTGTGAGACCCACCCTGACTCCAGGTGGAAAGTGGCAGGATTGAGTTGAACTCTGAGAACCAGTTAGTGTCCAGAGAATTGGAAGCCTGTGTCCTCGATTTCTGAGCAGAGATGGATTGTGCCTTCCTTCTGTCCTCTGGGTGTGGTCCCCCCAAAAGTTCTTATGCTGGAAACGTATTCCTCAGTCATTTGTTAATGGCATTTGGAGGTGGGGCCTTCCGGAGGTAATTAGGATTGGATGAGATCATGAGGCGGGCCTCTGTGGTGGCATTGGAGCTCTGTAAGAAGAAGAGAAGAGACCTGGTGCTAGCATGCTGGCTCCAGCTCCTGCGCAATGCCCTCTGCCCTGTTGTGACGTGGCAAGGCTTGGCCTGGTGCTGAGCAGATGCGGGCTCCATGCTCTTGGACTTCAGCCTCCAGGGCTGTGAGTCAAATAAACTTCTATTCTTCATAAATTACCCAGCCTGTGGAATCCAGTTATAGGAACAAAAAATGCATGAAGACACTTGCCTGGGGACTTTTTAATGAAAACTGAAGGAGATTAGTCCCTCCCTGTAGTAAGTTATACAAGATGTTCAATAAAGAATCCAGAGGGAGGTCATTCTCAGAGAGATTTGATCTGCTTGGTGACTATGACATCATCGCAAAGAGGCAGAACCTTCCAATTTCATTGGCTGATAAAAATCAAGCCATCTCTGTGGCTTCCACGTGGCACACCCCATGTGCCCAGAAATAGCCCCAAGTGCTGGCCAAGGTACAGGCTTTGAACCCAGACCTGTCACCTGCTGTTGGCAACCCTGGACAAACCACAGCCCTGCTGTGCCTCATTTTCTCACCTGGAAAGGGCAAGTCTCCTAGTATCTCACTTATTGAGAGTTGTAAAGATTAAGAGGGTAACACACGGAAGGTACCTGGAAAGGGCTGCTATTAGTAATTACAAACACGTGTTCCTTGCTTCAGAGTATTCAAGAACACAAGTCTCCCTGAGGGCCCATGCCACAGTAAGCTGGGCTTCCTCTGTGGATGCCATATTCTGTGCTGCAGCCTCCTTCTCTGGCCATTTCCCTACTAAACTGCTGCCCACACAGAGGCCAGCCTCACCTTGGCCCTGTGAGCCCCATGGAAGGTGTGGCCTTCTCTTGCCCAAGTTCCACGCAACTGGGCCTGGAAGGACAAAACCCAGAAGTCCTGGTGAGCCGGGAGCCTTCCCCTTATCCCTGGAAATCCCCAGAGCAGGCCCTCTGCCAGGCCTGTCCACTACTGTCCAGGAGCTGGGCAGGCACCAGGATGCACAGCCATCCTGGGCTCACGCCTGCAGGCACCCTCCCATGTTTAGGCACAAATTCGCATGTTTGAGGGAACATATTGAGCTTGCATTCACAGCTTGCATGTGGTCCTGGACTGGGCAGAAGTCCAGGGACCTGAGGACACACAGCAGGGCCCTAGACACTCAGGAAGGCTTCTCCAAGGAGGAACTGCCGCCTGCACTAAGACCAGCAGATTAGTAGAAGTAAATTTTGTGGCAGTAGCAGGGCGTCCACATGCTAAGGCCCAGAGGTCAGCAAGCCAGGCCACCAGGACATCTCATCCCACGTAAAGAGGGGTCTTGGGACACAACCCTGCACAAACGGTGCCCCTGCAGCCTCTGACTTGTCGGGAGGGAGCTCTTCCCTGTGCCATTGGAAGACGGCTGCTGCTGGTTCCTCCAGACCCTGAAGTTTCCCGGCTGCCTGGTGGCCGCTTCCATCTCCAGGGAAGCAGGATTCATTCTAGGCCTGATTTATTAGGCTCGTCCCCTCGTCATCCCAGATGCTATGGCTGGTCCAATTTACCGACCTGCCTGAGGGCCAGGGAAGGAAATTCATTAGGCCAGCAGAGCCCCGGGGCCAGGCCCATCTGTCTGGGCATCTGCCTTCCCTCCCCTCCCCTCCCCTCCCCTCCCATCCTCTCCACTGCAGTGGGAGGAGCTCTGTGCCTGAGCCTTGCACAGGATTAGCAAGGCGGTGACACCACTGAGCTGCCGGGTCCCCAGGGGAGGATGCTGCCTGGAAGAAGTCCTCTGCAGTCTCCAGCACTGCCTCCTGCCCCCGACAGGCAGTGCTCAGTTCCCCTCTGGGGCGCAGAAACCTCACCCTCTGTGACTTAGGGCAGGTGCGCCAGACCTGCCTGTCTGTTTGAGAGGTGTCGTCCTGCGCCAGACCAGAGCTTCAAGAGCAAACAGAAGGCCAGGCGGGCCTCTGAAGCAATGCCATCCCAACATAAGGCCAGCCACACGATGTCCAGGGTGTGGGGTCCGTGCCTTGTGTTTTAATGTGTGTTAAGGATATAAAAATAGCTTATATCTTATATATCTTGTGTTATTTGCAAATTGTATTCTAATATGCATACATTTTGGAGGAGGCTGGACAAGGGTTGGAATGAGTTCTGGAACACAACTAGCAGGAATATATTATTGTGCATTTCAAAATAGCTAGAAGGGGGATTTTGAATGTTCTTAGCACAAAAAAATAATGACAGATATTCTAATGACCTAAAGTGGATCGTTACATTTTATACTTGTTTAAAAACATCATACTGCATCCCATAATTATTACATGCCAATCAAAAAGTTTTGAAAGTTAACCTGGAGAAAGGAAGTGGTTGGAGATTTCATCTCCTGGTTCCTGACCACCCCCCCCACACACAGGTAGGTAATGTTTTCATGTGTAAATTAAACTGTTTAAAAAGTGAACAGGGGGCTGGGGCTGGGGCTCAGCAGTAGAGCCCTCGCCTAACACATATGAGGCGTTGGGTTTGATCCTCAGCATCACATAAAAATAAATAAAGATTAAAAAAAAGAAAAAGTGAACAGAATCACACCAAAAGAAATATGATTACCTAAAATGTCATTGTTTTGACAGAGCCCTAGTAGGCCTTTACATTTATAATAAGTGGCTCGATCTAAAGCAGAATGTTAAGTGACTGGCGGCTGCAGGAGGTGGTCCCAAAGGTCAGCTGGGGCAGAGCACTGGCGCTCAGGACGCATTACTTTCCAACAATAAGACCCCAAAAGAGTTGCAGGGGACCCTTCCCTAATGTGAGGCATCTGGGCAAACCAGCCCTCTTGGGAGGGTGTCTCCAGGTCAGGTGACATGCTAAGCCAGCCCCTGCCCTCCGCCTGCACAGAGGAGGCTGCTGGGACACCATGGCTGTTAGAGTCTAGCACACAGAGCTCCAGGCTTGTGCAAATGTCTAACCCCAGTGACGAGCTGGCACAGGCTGTGGCCTGGACCCTGTGTCTGTGACAGCTGGTGGTGTGGGTGTGGGTGCAGTAGGCAGGAGAAGGAGTAGGGAGGAAGGGCCCGGGACAAGTACCTCACCCTGATGCTGTCTCTCCACCTGAGGGAAGGCTGAGGCCCTACAAGTAGCAAGGCACAGGCGAGAAGAGTGTCCACAGCTGCTTCTGTGGCAGTGGGGACGCTGACGCCCTCCCTCCCTCCCTCCCGCTCTCACACAGCAATCGCTGCAGCCAGCCACCGCCACACAGACGGTCACGCAGCCTGTGCAGCCACAGGCGTACATTGACCTGCAGACCTGCTGACTGGTTCAACACAGGTCATCCAAGGGCATGACACACAACCCCCAAAATAGGTCAGTTGGAGCTCTTCAGCTTCAGGTTCCACATCGTGGATTCAACCAGCAGAGGAGCAAAATCATTTGGGAGAACCCTGCACCCTCAATGGCCACGCAGAGACATGGCCTCTTGACATTCCTCCCTGAGCAATCCAGGGATACAGTGTAGCAATGACATAGGCACCTGCATTGTGTTCTGCGAAAGTCACCTCGATGTGGGAAGATGTATGGGGGTTATACACAAACACCGTGCCATTTTCTACAAGGGATGGCGCATTGGTGGTTTCGATAGATCCTGGAGCTACTCCCCAACAGAGGCGGGGGAAGAACGCACCCCCAAAACCACACCACACACCTCCACAGCTGCACACATACATGACACAGACTCACTGTGTAGCACATGGACACCACAGCCACGGCTCCCAGTCACCTCTGTAGACATGCACATGGGGACACGCAACATTAGTTCCGATGTAAATACACAGGCAGACATGTTGGCCTGTGCAGTCAAACACAGAGGCAAGTAGGGAGGGAAAGATGTCACTTGCACAAGGCCAAAGCTAGACACAAAGACAGCACACATTCACACGCACACACGTCCACTACAACAGGCCAGCACACACGGGTGAACTTACAGGCATACACACAAACATACACCTGCAGAAGGTGCGAACACACACTCTGACCGCAGAGAGGAACAGCACAGGCTTGGCTCGAGAGTGTCACCACAGACATAACAGGTCCCCTCACCCAGCATTCCTGTGATGCCAGCTTCCCACTCACAGAGCATGCCTGGGAGCTGACCTCAGCCAGGCATCTGGGCACAGGGAAGAAGACCCCCGCCCCTTGGTCAGCTCTCGCTGCCCCAGCCCCCAAGAAGCTCAAAGTCTGGAGGAACCAAGGAGAGCCTCCTTGCTGTCCACCAAGATCACATCCAGGCCAGGCCCTCCCCACACAAATCTTTGACCCATGATTTGTGTTGGATACCCAGGCCTGGCCATCAGATGGGGCCAGCTGAGCCCCAGAGAGCACTTGGTCTCTGCTGCTCTTGGCCATGAGATGCTGGGAACGGAATGGGATGAGATGCACCCCAACCCGAGGTCCCTTCCTGCCTCCCTCTTCCTTGCCTCTCCCTCCCCTGCCTTGGCTGCTGAAGCCCCTCCTTGCTGAGCCGCTAGAGAAAAGATGCTCTCAGCACCTGCAGGTGGGACCTGGGAGCGGGCTGCCCTGGCTTCCCAGGGAAGAGCAGGACAGCCAGGGGAAAGCCCTGGAAACAGCCTCCAGGGAGGCCCAGGTGAACCTCCCTCGGGGAAGGCTGGGTGGCCAAAGGGGCTGGGACAATCAGGCAGGGGAGCCTCAAGGGTCAGTGAGGGGCAGGACAAGGCTCGATGGAATAGCCCGGACATGGCTACTAAAATACAAGCACACATAGCTTTGAGAAAGCCACTCGTACATAGGACTCTGTGTCAAGAAGCCACCTGACGAACACTAAGTCGCAAGACTTGTCAATGCGAGACGTTTTCTGCAGCACTCTCCACTGTGACAAGGCTCAGGAGGACGACCTCAGCCTGCTCATCAGCTGGGAAACGCGGAAGAGCTGTTGAAGGACCCGCCTACTCCCCCACCCGCTTTAACTGTATGCAGCTGTTAAAGGGAAGTTCATCCTAGAGCCAGCCATCTGAATTAGTCTCTGGGATATTACGTGAAATGGGGAAAACGAGAGATGGAACAATGTCAGTAGAAGATCTCAGTTTGGGGTAAAAGCAACTCAAAAGCCCTATTTTTGTGTATGTATGAAGACTCCTAATATTAGATACTGGGAAAGAAAGTGGAAAGAAATGGACGGGGAGAGGCTCTGCCCATGCAGGTGGTTCCCAAAGGTCCAACTTCAGTTTTTTCGACTTTACAATGTTGTGAAAATGATACACATTGAGTAGAAATCATATTTTGAATTTTAATTTTTTTCCCGGGTTGGAGATCTGTGGTACAAAACACAATTCCCCTCACCCATGGGACCCCAGGGGAGGTGGGTGCCCCCAGGGGGAGGTGGGTGGTCCATGGCGTGCCATGCTCTCCTCTGTGATGTCCAGGGGGCCTGGTGGGCCAAATGCATGTCAGACTTGTGACGTCCTCCACTGGTGATTGGCTGATTTGGTTGTCTCCCCAGGGTGAGCC